GACCTCGGAAACCGCCCCATCTCCTACAACGAGTGCGCCATTCGTCTCCACTACAATGACGACGGCCTCGCCCTCATCCACATCTCAGCAGCCCCTACCATCGTCGCCAAGCGTTCGATAGCGACGCAGACACCACGCGCCTTTTTGCAACCACCGGTTTCTGCCGTCGTCCCCAAGATTGTGACGTCGACATCACTTGCTTCCTCGAAGCCGCCGGCCCCTCGTCGGCCTCCATAATTAACTTGTTAGTGCAGTCAATTCTTTGTGTGCTCTCGCTCCTCCCATTGAACTGCGAGCAGAGGAATTCCACTGCTGTGGCCGTGGGTTACGCCTCTGCAGCGATGCGAACATCGTGAACAACTGGACTTTCCAAGTGAGCTTGAAGGCCTCCACTCTTCTTCTTGCCCATGTTGAATTGTGTGCATCACTACCTCCGGCTTTCCCCGTGGTCTTCTCGATCGACTGCGTGTTGCGTGCGTGATTTCTCGCGCGCCTACGTTGGGCGGATCGTATGTAACTTTTTTTCTCTTCTCTTCCTCTTTTCTTACCTTTGCCTCTATTCCCACTACTCCATTTCTTGTGCCGACCTGTTTAGGTGTCATAAAAATGATAGTTACGGGCGGCACGTTTCTCTTCCTTTCTATATCATAATCACTTGGAGCACTTTGTCGTAATTCGGACGGGAAACTGCTTTGACTTATTATGTGGATGCTGCCCACGCCCGTGCAGTCACTGACCCCTCTCTCCAACCTACCATTACTGCCACCTCTGTCGAGGGTGAAGAGGCAGCTATTGCCCTCGCCACAACACAAACCTGAGCAGAATACATTTTCTCCGACTGCAAAAATGCGGTACACAACTACGTGTTTGGACCAGCGGCACCTCCGGCTGCAGGCATCTAGGTATGGCACCATTTCTCTCACCTTATTTATATCATCTGGGTAGCCACTCACGTGGGTCATCCTGGCCACGAGGCGGCCAATTATATCGCTCGCGGTTCGACCGACCGAGCAAGTCCGCCCCACCGGGAATGAATACGTGCGAGGCGCTCCTCACGTACCATGACCTCACATTGCACTACCACCTCTTCCACCTCCCTTCTCCCCTACCACACCAATCCCTTTCCCAACACCAACAACACCTGTGGCGCCAACTTCAGGCCCACACCTTGCCTTAGTCCTACACATCTTGCCCTCTTCTACCCCGGAACGTACTCGTGCTGCCTGCCGCTTATGTGACAGCTCGATCGCCAACTATCAACACATAATTTACTCCGGCCCCGCACACTTGCCCCTGCCTCTTGGCACCTCAGCAGTCCGCAGCAGTGAGAGGCTGCTTTGTTCAGCACCAGGCAGGACCTGCAACTTCGACTGGTGAATTGGTCGGAGGACGTCGCGGCTAGGCACTGCCTGGACGCCATAACCGGAAGCCTGAAGGCCATCCCCAAAGCTGTTTTATTTCAATTATTTAAGATATTGTTACGATGGGGCGTGTTTATCGAAGAACGAATGGCGAAGGGTAGCCGCGCCGACACCGAGCTGCTTCCAAACAGACCACGTCGTTTTCCTCTTCTTCCCTTCACACGTTGCAGCTTCAGCGTAACATTCTCCCTTTCCCAGATGAAGCCCCCTGGACGAGCATCAGTCACGAAAATGAAAGCGCTTTAGGCGGTCGACGTGAACAAGATGCGTCTGCCTAGAACGGCAGACGAGCGGCAGACGAGCGATTGAATATGTCACATCACTCAGGCGATCGGCGATGACAAAAAGACCAGTGTAACGAGCCAAGAACTTCTGGTACAGGCCACGCTTGTGGAAGGGTGTCCATAACCATACTGTTTCTCCTTTATTCGCACGAAACGTTCTTGTGCCATGAATCATAGGCGAACTTGGAGCGGTCTTGGGTTTCCAACATACGGAGCTGAGCTAGGCGACATGCTTCCTGCGCGCAGCAGAGAGTCTGGCAATGGAAGAGTTCTAATGTGCATGAAAAGTCAGAATGGTGTCAAAGTGGTGAGGTGGCCTGACATAAAGAAGATAGAATGGACTGTAGCCACAGGTTTCATGCTTTGCCGTGTTATAAGCGTAGGTGATAAACGGCAAGATGTCATCCCAGTTCTTGTGCCTGGAGTCAACGTACATCGAAAGCATGTTGGTACACGTTCTGTTGGTGCGCTCGACGAGATCATTTGTCTGCGGGTAATATGGGGTCGAGTGGCGAAACTGGCAAGCACAGAGACGCAAGAGTTCTTCTACAACATCGGCTACGAATTGTCGACCACGATCACTAAGAATAATCCAGTAAGTCCATGGCACAGTATCACAGAAGAGAGGAGGAACCTCGATACATCAATGGCCGTGGCTGTTGGTAGCGCTTTGGTTTCCACATAACCTGTCACGTGGTCAACGCAGACTATAATCTAACGGTTGTTGTTCAATGAGCACGGAAATGGACCGAGAAGATCCACTCCAACCATTTCGAAAGAAGACGAGGGTGACATCAAGGGGTGGAGGAGACCAATCGGGGTAATATTTGGTCGCTTGAATTGCTGGCATTTATCACAACTGGCCACATTCTTTACTGTACTTCGTCGCATGGTAGGCCAGTAGAATCGAGACAGCAGGCGGTGGTACGTTTTGGAGAACCCCAGGTGCCCCGATGATGCGTCGCCGTGCATAGCATAAAGTACGTGCGTTCTCAAATTCTTGGGGACCACTAAAAGAAGGCGAGCACCATCAGCCGCGTAATTTTTTTGTAAAGCAAGCCCTCACGGACGATAAAGTCATGGCTACTTATCCGTTGAGCGGCTGAGTCAAAGAGATCATCTAAGCTGCGGTCGTTGCGCTGTTCTTCCCGGAAGGTGGCGAGGTCAGGAAAAGAAGTCTCGTCGATGGCAGCTAGAAAATCGTCAAAATTGTCAGCGTCACATAGAGTGGTTGGTAGCGGAAGCCTCAAGAGACAGTCGTCGTCTGCATGATGGCGGCCACTCCTCTAGCATATTGTAAAGTTAAATTCCTGCAAACGTAGCGCCCATCGCGCGAGGCAACCAGAAGGGTCACGGAGACCAACCAGCCAACATAGTGAATGGTGGTCCGTTACGATTGTGAAGCGCCGCCCGTAAAGATATGGACGGAGCTTATGCACAGCAAAAACCAAAGCGAGGCACTCTTGTTCAGTAATGGTGTAATTCTTCTCGGCCTTGCTCAACGAACGCCTGGCGTGGGCGACGACACGCTCGGCGTCATCGAAGCTCTAGATAAGCACGGCACCGAGACCGATGCCACTCACGTCGGTGTGCACTTCTGCCATGGCAGACGGGTTGAAATGGTGCAGTATGAGTCCAGACGTGAGAAGTTTACGAAATGAGACATCACACTCTGCTGTCCAGATGAAATCCTTATCTTTGCAAAGCAGTAAAGCCATTGGGTAAGCAGTATCAGCAAACTTGGGCACAAATCGGCGGAAGTATGAATAGAGACCCGAAAAACTCCTTAGTTCGCGTTGTGACTGTAGTTGTTTGAAACAGGTAACTGCAGCAACCTTCTGAGGATCTGGGCGCACACCATGTTCGTCTACAAGATGACCAAGTACAAGTGATTCTCGCTGACCGAAGTGACATTTCTTGGAGTTCAGGGTAAGGGCAGCTTGTTCAAGGCCTGTTAAAACAACGTCAAGTCGATGGTTGTGTTCAGAAATAGTGCGTCAAAATGACGATGTCGTCGAGGTAACATAAACAAACATTCCATTTGAGACCACGCAAGTACCGTGTCCATAAACCTTTCAAATGTCGCAGGGGCGTTGCACGAACCAAACGGCATGACACTGAATTCAAACAAGCCAGCTGGGGTGACAAAAGCAGTTTTCTCTTTGTCGGCTGAATGCATGGATACCTGCCAATAGCCCGATCGGAGGTCTACAGATGAGAAGTAAGATGCCGAATGAAGACAGTTGATAACGTCGTCTATGCGGGGAAGCGGATACACATCCTTTTTCATCACCGAATTTAGACGCCGGTAGTCGACGAAAAACCTCCAGGACTCGTTTTTTTTCCTTCACGAGGATGACCGGTGCAGCCCAGAGACTAGAAGAGTCCTGGACGACGACCTTAGCCAACACGTCTTCCACTTGTTCAGCGACCACCTTGCGCTCCGATGCAGACACACGGTATGGTTTCTGCCTTATGGGATGCGCGGACCCCGTATCAATCTTGTGGCGAGCCCGCATATTGGGAACACGAACTTTGGTAGTGTCCTGGGTGAAATTAAGCAATGAAGCATGCCTACTTCATTGCTTGATTTGCATGCCTGCACATCAGGCAATGTGTGTACTTTACTATATAAGCTTCGTCCTGAGAAGCTTTGACAGCAAATCCTACGTAATCTCAGTACACTATTTTTAAAAACTATATACTCAAGTTCATCGGTAGGCTTAGAAGCAAGGTGACTATATTGGCCGAATACGTGGTCTCAAACATTTTAAACTCAGAGACAATATATTACGAGTTTATGGTTCTTATGAATCACAATGGCTGTCGCTACAAATGACAATCAAAAATAGACTTTTTGTGCGACACTGATTTTATTTGTCTATCCAAAACCAGAAATGGGACATTACAGATCTAGCCAGAATATTTTTTGTAAGTTCATTACCTAACACTGCCGGCTGTTTTGTGAAGTTTAAGGTTCGTTTTCTCTGGTCACTATGTGCGACGCTGGTATGCCACTGACCTCAGTGCTTTCCATGTTATCTTTAAGGCCTACACATACGCGTTGCAGCACGTCAGCGCTGGGCTTGTAGGTTCGGCGCCGCGCCATCTTCTTATGGAGGAAGAGGACACACAACTTCCTGTAGCCGCGCACCAGGAATAATGACAATGACAGATCTCTCGCATGGTCATGACACCGACACGAAACCTGAGCTGCACGAAATGCTTGGACGCACCGCTTCCAATGGTCGGTCAAGCCCCTATGCAGTGCGTTTGGCAAACAAGGAAAGCTCACCTGCTGGAACTGTTTTCCCATGAACCTTGTCGCAGTAGCCAGCACAGTATCTCAGACAGTTGATGGCAAATTGGATGTCATGAACAGCTTCCGTGAATGGCTTCCCGTTGTTAAAAGTCTCCAAGCTCTGAAACATAATTGCAAGCATTCACATGAGAGGTGGTAACCACTTAGTTTCAAATACTAAAATGTGCAGCGTAAAAAAGGCGCTTCTGCAATGTAGGTATACATTTACCTACCATCGCGTATTACCCGTGTACTGTGCCATATGTTTTCTCTTGCTGAATACTCTAACCTGACGAATATTTCAGCGAATTCACTGATTCCCTCGGCGGACGCTACAATCTTGTTTTTATAATACCGGTTTTACTTCCAAGAACCATGATATGAGAGATGAAGGGCCCCAAATATTTTGATCATCCAGTGTTCTTTTAACGTGTACCTCTTGTAAGAGCATGCGTTCCTGTAGCATTTCGCCTTTGTCGAAATGCGGCCACCGCAGTCGGGATCCGATACCGCGACCTTCGGGTTATCAGTCGAGCACCATAACCTTGTCTACCGTGACATGTGGCAACGGGGAATGACAAACCACATCGAATAATAATTTTCTATCAAAAGCGGCTGATCACCGATACACCCAGAAATCATTGGGAAAGACATGCAATGCGCGCATGCGCACCTCCAAGGACCGCATTTCTGTATGCTCGAGGATTCTATTTTTATTCACTTAGCAATACTGCCAACCACCACGTGCTCCATGCAGGAGGGGTTGTACATTAATCGCAAAATCATAATAAAGAACAAAACATCACAATCACAGCAAAAAAGAAAAAAAAAGCTATGAGAAAAATTGGAACGCAAAAAATATCAAGCACAGTCATGCTAGATAATACTGTAGGCATTCATTAAGCACATCTACTTTCTTCACACATGTTCATCATCATGAGTGGTCGTCATCTTCATCTGTTGTGGGAACTTGGCTTGCCTGGGTTCTGTGCCTTGGGTGTGGTTGCTTCATCGTGTCTTCTGGGCCTAGTAAAGGTTGCCTTCACCGTTGCATCACAAGTAATGGAGTGTGCTCTATGATCTTCCGTTCTCTCCCAGCCCACTCTACCTCCTGGAGCTCCGCTCAGGTCGTCGTCTGTGCCAGATGTCCGGTAACATGCCTCAGGACGAGCCAACCGGCGCTTATGCGTCTACCTCAACGGCCCCGGCTACTGGGGTCTATCTATCGCGAATTATCACCGCGCACCAGCGTGAGCCACCCACGTTCGCCGGACTTTAAGGTGAAGATGTGGAGGATTGGTTGGACCAGTTAAATCGAGCGAGTTCCACTAACAACTGGGATGATCCTACCAAGTTTCGCCGTGTTTCTTTTTATCTGACAGGCATAGCGAAAACATGTTTTTTTTAATCATGAAATGGACATCACGAACTGGACACATTTCAAGCAACAGCTTCACCAAATTTTCGGCACCCCGGTGGTTCGTTCAGCTCTCGCGAAGAAGACACTGGATGCTCGCAAGCAACAATGCGGTGAGTCTTACACCTCGTACATAGAGGATGTGCTGGCTCTCTGTCACCGTTTCAGCACGTCCATGTCTGAATCAGAGAGAGTTCGTCATCTATTGAAAGGGATCGGCACGGTCGCGTTGAATGCCTTGGTCATACAAAACCCGACCACAGTTGCTGACGTTGTTGCCACGTGCCAACGCCTAGAGGAACTTGAGTCCCAAAAGTTACAGGCAGACAGCGCTGAAAACAACACCACGACTGATGCCTCATTGCGTGCTATGATCCAGGCGATTATACGGGAAGAGCTGCAATCTTTTGGCCTCTCAATGACACCGAGTCCACCTCCCCCCTCCAACACTGTTTTGCGCGACGTTATCAAAGAGGAGTTGGCGTCCATGACCGGGCCAGCGTATGTAGACTCTCCGGTACCTCTACTCCAGCCGACGTACGCACAAGTCCTCGCTGGTTCACCACGCGTCGTACAACCGATGCCCGTACACTCGAAGCCTGTTCCACTGGCTTCGATAACTCCGAGTGCGCCTAGCCAGCTCTTTCACCCACCATGGCGGCCACCTCGTCCGATATGTTATTACTGCGGCTATCGGAGCCACATTGCACGCTTCTGTCGGAAGCGTCAGCAGGACGAGCGTCTTAGATTTGACCCCTACGAACGGGATGATGGGGCAAGAGGGTCCGCTTTCTAATGTCGTCCTTTTGATCCACCGCTACGTCGCACACCGTCTCCAACTGCGACATCTGAGCCAATCCCTTCTTACCGCTCTACAAGACGCCGCTCACCATCACCCCTCTGCCGCTCCACGTCTCCATTGCGACTTGCCTCGCGATTCACCAACCAACGCCCGGAAAACTAACCTCTGCAGCTTTTGGAAGAAAAGCTGCATATGATATCTGTTTTAATAAAAGGTGTGTACGTGGACGCTTTAATAGACACTGGTTCTTGTTTGTCTGTGATTGATCGTTCTTTGTTCTCACGTCTGCGATAAGTCACCACCGCTTATGGTAGAACTACACTGCTCGCTGCTCAAGGGGACGCCATTAGACCTGCCGCTATGTGCACCACTCGTGTTTTCATAGCTGGCCTTCTCCATTTTGTGCAATTCGCCATGCTGAGTTCGTGTGCCCACCAGCTTATATTTGGCTGGGATTTTGTGTCTACGGCAACGCTTACATTTGTTGTCGAAAAAATGTTGTGCATATGATGAAAACTGACTATGCCCTTCATGCGGATGACAAGCCTGTTCGCTTGCTCGCTGCGGAAGGTACCGAGCTACCACCTGGTCATCAGCGAATAGTTACCATTGCTTCTAACGTGATCGACTCTGGTGACGTGTTTGTCCAATCATCGGCACGCTGTCTCGCAAGAGTTATGGCCCTTGCTTCAGGTCTAGCGCAGTTACACAATGGCTCCGGACTTCTCTACGCTACAAACCAGACGTCTGAGAAAATTCTCATTCCTAAAGGCACCACACTGGCTTGCGTTACCGAATCCCAACCTGTCTCTGTTGTCCCGCTTATGCCAGCGTGTTCTGACCTTCCTTCTATTGGACGTTCATCATGCGTTTCTATTCTTGCTGCAACTATTAGTCGAGAGCTGACCGCTTCACAGACAGATGAGTTGCTTGCCTTGCAACAAAAGCTTAGAGGATTGTTTGATGCCCATTCCTCATCTCTGGGACAGACGCCCATCATCACGCATCGTATCCAGACCGATGGCACTTCCATCGTATGCCGTTGACCATATCGCGTCTCTTCGTCCGAGCGTGAGGCCATTGAAGAAAATGTAGCCGATATGCTGTAACGAAACATTATACGTCCCTTTGTGAGTCCTTGGTCATCCCCTGTTGTTTTAGTAAGAAAAAAAGATGGCTCCATGCGATTTTGCTTGAACTACAGGGCACTTAATAAGATTACCCACAGGGATGTTTACCCCATGCCGCGCATAGACGATGCTTTGGATTCACTGCAGGGTGCCGAGTACTTCTCAGGCCTAGACCTGCGTTCGGGTTACTGGCAGATACCCATGCACGAGGATGACAAAGAAAAGACAGTGTTTTTAACACCAGAAGGGCTGTACGAAATCAACGTCATGCCATTCGGCCTCTGCAATGCTCCAGCAACATTGGAGCGGATGATCGACAGTTTTACGAGGCTTGAAATGGAAGAATTGCTCGTGCTATTTAGACGATATCGTTATTTTCTTGTCAACCTTCCCTCAGCACTTGCAACGACTGGACGAAGTTCTCACGTGCCTTGCAAACGCAGGCCTTCAGCTGAACACCAAAAAGTGATGATTTGCGAGCGAGACAATTAAAGTGTTAGGCCACATCGTAAGCAAGGACGGTATTCGTCCCGATCCAGACAAGATTTCCACTGTCCAACACTTCCTGCGTCCTGAAAAAGTCAAAGATTTGCGCAGTTTCCTCGGCCTCGCTTCTTATTTTCGCCGATACATTCAAGACTTCGCCTCAATATCTTCACCATTGCACAAGTTGATCGGATCAGGCGTCGCATTTGTGTGGTCTCCTGAATGTGAAGCGGTGTTTGCCCAACTGAAGCGTGCACTCACATCCGAACCAGTCCTCTGTCATTTCGACGAAACCGTGCCTACGCTACTCATACAGACGATAGTGGTCAAGGCATTGGTGGAATTCTCCTACAGCGAGACAAATCTGCACGTGAAGAGGTCGTCGCATACGCGAGCCGTGCACTGACCCCTGCCGAAAAGAACTTTACCATCACCGAACAGGAGTAAATAGCGGTCAATAGGCACTCCTTTTATATGGTCAATACAAATGTTTCGACCTTATCTCCATAGCCGCCACTTTACTGTGGTTACGCACCATCACGCCCTGAGCTGGCTCTCGACAATCAAGAACTTGTCCGGCCGCCTTGGTCGCTGAATTCTTCACTTACAAGAATACGACTTCACTATTACATACAAGTCGGGAAACAAACATCAGGACGCCGACGCACTTTCGCGTTGCCCGCTTTTTTCGGAGCCACTTAACAAACCCGCCACTGCCGCACTCGAGGAGCCTTCGGCCCTACATGTTTCATCCTTAGCTACTGTGGACCCAACTTCTCCAAGCGAGTGTGGTTTGTTTTTATCCCACTAACGTGCTGACCCTTACTGTCGCTACATCACGGACTGTCTTGACGGGACTTGCCGGCCCCCTAACGCCCGTCTTCGCTGACAGCTGACGCAATTCAAGCTCGAAAACCACGTCCTGTACCATCATATCTACCACCCTGATGGTCAACGCTGGGTGCCCGTTCTACTACCTCGCTCTCTTCGGGCTCAAGTCCTCAAGACATATCACGAAGACATGTCTGCTGGACACATGGGCTTCCAGAAAACGTACGACCGCATAAGATGTCACTACTACTGACCGGGCTTGTCCACCGGTGTCGCGAAGTACGTTGCCTCATGCGCCCTTTGTCAGCGTTGCGAGCTACATACATCAACTCGAAGTGGACTATTACAACCGCTCCCGTGTCCCCTGCAACCATTTGAGGTAGTTGGCGTTGACCTGTACGGTCCGCTTCCTATGACTGTCACGGGCAATCGATGGATAGTTACAGCTGTCGACC